CTGGGACCACCTGGGTGCCCCTGGGGGCACCCAAAACCCACCTGGGCACACCTGGGGGCACCAAAAACACACCTGGGATCACCTGGGCACAGCTGGGGGCACTGAAAACACACCTGGGATCACCTGGGCACAGCTGGGGGCACCTGGGCACACCTGGGAGCAGGGAAAACACACCTGGAGACACCTGGGGGCACCTGGGTGCACCTGGGCACACCTGGGCTCACCTGGGCACACCTGGGCACAACTGGGGGTACCTGGGCACACCTGGTCTCACCTGGGCACCCCTGGGCACAACTGGGGGTACCTGGGCACACCTGGTCTCACCTGGGCACCCCTGGGCACAACTGGGGGTACCTGGGCACACCTGGTCTCACCTGGGCACCCCTGGGCACAACTGGGGGTACCTGGGCACACCTGGTCTCACCTGGGCACCCCTGGGCACAACTGGGGGTACCTGGGCACACCTGGTCTCACCTGGGCACCCCTGGGCACAACTGGGGGTACCTGGGCACACCTGGTCTCACCTGGGCACACCTGGGCACAACTGGGGGTACCTGGGCACACCTGGTCTCACCTGGTCTCACCTGGTCTCACCTGTGCCCAGGTACGCACTCCGCCCACAGCAGCTCCTTCCAGCTGGAGATGGCGCAGGAGGGATTCAGCGCCACGCTGAGCGCGGTGAGTGACCAGAGTGACCATGAGTGACCACTGAGTGACCACTGAGTGACCACTGAGTGACCAGAGTGACCAGAGTGACCACTGAGTGACCAGTGAGTGACCAGAGTGACCAGTGAGTGACCAGAGTGACCACTGAGTGACCAGAGTGACCATGAGTGACCAGTGAGTGACCAGAGTGACCATGAGTGACCATGAGTGACCACTGAGTGCTGAGTGACCAGAGTGACCACTGAGTGACCAGTGAGTGACCCTGAGTGACCCTGAGTGACCACTGAGTGACCCCCGAGTGACCGCTGTCCCGCAGGCCGGGGCCGTCCTGGGCGCCGTGGGCGCGTTCGATTGGGCAGGGGGCGCCTTCGTCCACGGCGGGGGAGGGGCGCCCGCCTTCCTCAACGCCTCCGCAGCGCACCTGGGCACACCTGGGGCACACCTGGATACACCTGGGGCACACCTGGGCACACCTGGGGAACAGCTGGACACACCTGGGGAACAGCTGGACAGTGCAGAGGATGCCAGGAATGCGTACCTGGGTAAGGGGCACACCTGGGCACACCTGGGGACACCTGGGGGCACCTGGGCACACCTGGGCACACCTGGGGGGTACCTGGGATACACATGAGCACACCTGGGCACACCTGGGGGCACCTGGGGGCACTTGGAGGAACCTGGAGGGGACCTGGGATACACATGAGCACACCTGGGCACACCCGCAATGCACCTGGGCACACCTGGGCACACCTGGGGACACCTGGGCACACCTGGGACACACCTGGGTCACCTGAGAACACCTGGGGGCACCTGGGCACACCTGGGCACACCTGGACACATCTGGGGCACACCTGGGCAGGGGGGTGGGGTCACCTGGGCACACCTGGGCAGGGGGGTGGGGTCACCTGGGCAGGTAAAAATTCACAGCTGGGCATGGAAATTCACCTGAGACCCCCCAGACTCACCTGAGCCCCCCCCAGAA